CGCGGAGCCGCTGGGAGGTGAGGTGCACGGGGCAGATGCCTCCACGCTGCTCTGCCAAGCCGGGGCCGCCGGTCAAGGCCTCGGGGTTTTAGTTTGCCCTCAGATAGCTCAGGAGTCCGGCTGTCCGGCGCTGCGGAGTCGGTTTTCTTTGGGCTGGAGCCAGCGTTGGTCGGAAGCACTGGGAGCGTATCCATGATCTCCCAGGAGATTTGGACCTGGCCTCTGCTCGCGGCCAGTTTTGCTCCTCTAGCGCAACGTGTCAGCTGTATACGAGGGGAAGTGTTTCTGATGCAGCAATGCATAGGAAGAGGCGCGTTGTGTCTTGCGAATTGGCTCCCCGTAAAACGCCTCGAGCTCGCCGCAGCTCTCTGCAGACGGTCCCCTGCCAAGGGAACCTGCAGGCACTTGTAGTGCAGCTTCAGCAACGGCATAACGGCGAGGGAGCAAGCAAGCGAACTTTGAAACGCGGGCAAAGCCAAAATGCGCTATAGAGTACGTTCATTTTGCGGTCAATAAAAAAGGTTAAATAGCAACAGTCAGTGTTTCCAGGGTGGGTCGGGTTAAAAAGCGGAGCAAGCAAAGCCTTTTCGCGGTGCTGTACGGTTGCGTTGTACGCACCGAGTTTGGATTACAAAGATAAATGATGAAAACTTTGCTTCCCGCTGAGATAAAGTGCTGTGGTGCGGAGGAGCGTACAAACGCCTGGAGAGAGCCAGAATAAACGGCGCTTCAAAAGGAATTGAGACCGCTCTGAGCCGAAGCATTAAAAAGACATTTCTATAGTCAATTCAGGAATGTTTTGGAAAGATAAGTAATTTTAGCTATGAATGTGATTTTTCCCTTTCTTTCTCCGTCGTTTCTTTTTTTTTGTTTTTCCTCTCTCTGAAGTCTGGTGGCCGGAGGCTATTTGATGCTCCCTTAAGGCAGAGAGGTGCCATCTCACTGAGACGCACCCTGGCCTTGTGACGGGCGTGGGAGGGTGGAGGTTTTTGTCGGGTCTAGTCCTGTTTTCATTAGTGCCCCTCGGGCCCTTGCTGCCCCTGCTGCTCCCCAGGGAGCCAGCACCGCGCGCCCATCTCTCTCCCGCTCCGGGGCGGATGCTGTTCTCCTCCAGCTGGCCGCCCGGGAGTTTTCTTCCTCCCCTCCGTGCCTGACGCCCGCGCGGGGGAACCCGCGTGACCCACCGCTGTGACGAGCGAGCGCTCCTCTCGGCCGCTGCAGACGTGGCAGCGCCAGCTGTGAATGGGGCTATTCTTCGGGTGCCCCATCCCAGCACCCAGGTCTGGTTTCTCCTTCGGAAAGACGAGGTATGAAGCAGTCGCTCGGCCAAGCCTCGTCTGCTGGCAGCAGGGCAGGAGAGGGAGTTCCCCAAGTCTCCGGTTCCCACCGCTTCATCTCGGCTTACCAAAATGCGGGGTTTATAGAGGGTTGTTCAAGGCTTAGGACTCAACCTGCAAGCTCTTGTGAATCGTTTTCCTGATGACAGTAAAGGCATCGTGTGAGGATGTATACTCCAGTCGAACAACTGTAAATAGGACTGAAATCCGTGTCAGAAATCCTGTGGAGACAGAAATCAGACTGGAAAAGCTGGACAAGAATAAGTTTTTAATTTGCCGTGACAGGAAACAAAGCTGTGTCTTGTCAAAAAATTACAGCTCCCTTTTTATGCCTGTCTGTGGCATGGCAGCAATCCTCCTGATGGCTTTCTCTTACAAACGTAGCTTTATAGAAACGAGACTGGGGAATGAACTGTAAGAATATAGTTCGTGAAAGGAAATGTGAGGAAGAAAGGCTTAGACAAGCAACATAGCTTAAACTTCACTTGCTGTGGCCGGCGATGAGTTACGTAGCGTTCACGTTCGTCTCTTGGCCTTCCTACCCAAGCGGGTTGTTTCTCTTGCTGGTCGTTGGACTGCCTGGAGCAGTTGGGCCCTGCCCTTGTGGGGAGTGGGCACAGGAGTCCCGAGGGAGTTGGGAGACGACGTAGGACGCGCCACCATCCGTGGCCTTCGTCCTCCACCAGGTATGAGACGCAAGGGCCTGTGCTGGCCCAGCTCTTCAGGGAGCACAGGGGGATGGTGGCAGGGCCAGAAGGTGCAAGGTCCCCTAGGAAAGCTTTTCAGAAGTGAGACAGGAGCTGCCAAATGTGCCAAAGTGCACCACGGCCTCAGCTTCCCAAGGGCAGAGTCTCGCCCACCGCCTCGCAGAGCTGCTGGTGACCGTGGTCCCAGTGCCAGTGAAGCGCAAGCTCTTCTGAACAACTTCTGCTAAGCTCCACGAGCTGCCGAGCACTGCTGTCAAACGTGCTCTTAGCGAGACTGCTAACGACAGGGCAGTCACGGGGGTCGGACACGTGCCCGATGTGAAAGACCCTTTAACCCGAGGCCGCCTTTGATAAGGGGTCTGCGCGGGAAATATCTCGGGGCTTTAATGGGAAACTGCGTGGAGGACCGTGCGGGTTCGAGATCTGAAGAAGTCAAGACATGCAAGATAAAAACACGATTTTAAGTGAATGTTTCAGCTCAGCTATGACATTAAGACAACAGTCCTGTAAAGTTGCCGGGAAAATTGTTGGCAATCCCGATCAAGTTACGTTAAGCACGTTAACTTCTTTGTGATTGGTTTATCCCAGTGTGTGCTTGGAACAAGATTTATTTTTTTCTTTAGGAAAAAAAAACCCAACTAACGTTTGATTTCATTCAAATGAATTGTTATTGCTGGGTAAGGAGAAATCCAGGGGGTGTTTGCAGGTGGATCTCTCTTTGTAAGAACTCATGAGAACTTAAGCAGTTAGTTTTAAAACGTTGCTGCCTGTGCCTGGCGCGTGCTTACTTTCCCTCAATAAAGAGATTGTGGAGGGACAAGAGGAACTCCCAGCCTGAAGAATGTTTTGAATTTAACATCTGAGTCCTCTTACCTTTCCTGTCCTTCCATATAGCAAGGGGTATATTCACTGGGTGCCTGTCCTAGCAGCCTTTTGTTTGGGTAGTCTAGTCCCTTTCTGGGAGATGCTTTTTTTTTTTTCTTCAATAAAAAAATTCTAAAGAGGAAGATGTCAAAATGTATAGAGGGGAACTAGTTACCCAAATTGCACTGGCTTTCAACGTGTCTTTATGTCTTCTGCAAACAGAAGACTTCTTTGTCTTGGTCTTATTTCTCTGATTGTGGAAATCCCCTCTCAGGATGGGGATTGATAATATTTTTGTCGGTTTGTTTTGGTTTGGTTTGATTTTTGCTTTGTTTTTTTGTAAAGTAGTTTCAAACAGTTGCTCTCAGAGACATGTTAAGTCTAATGAGGTCAATTCACATGTCATTTAATCAGAGGTTCTCATGTCTGCTGGGAGCCTAGGGCAGACCTGGGGCAGGAGAGACTTCTATTTCCCGTCTCCTCGCCGCGCACATGGATTTTGTCTCCCTGGCTTTGTCTTTACTTAACAGTCGGCAATGAGAAAATTTCCTCCGCCAGCTGTAATACAGGATAACTCCAGTTAGTGGCTAGACATGTAAAGCCTAATGCGAATCCAGGTTACTAGGGAAAGGAGAGAATGGGATTGAGTTGGCACATCTTTGTGCTGAGTTACCTGGGATAAAATTCGTCCTTTTCCTGACCTGGCCATTCAACTACGTTTTCTCTCGTTTTAGGGGAGCACCTGCGAATCTGCCCCCAAGGCTATACTTGCTGCACCAGCGAGATGGAGGAGAACTTTGCAAACAAAAGCCGAAGCGAGTTTGAAGCCATGACGAAAGAAGCGGGTCGCTCAGTGCAGATGATCCTAACGGCTCAGTACAGGAGCTTCGATGGTAAGTCAGACCGGCTCCGTTCGCCTCCTGCTCAGGGGCCTTCACTCCTGCGGTATCGCAAGTGCTGTTTGAGTGGGGGAGTTGTTTGCTACACCTTCTTCTGCGCCTCGCTCAGTCGTTTGCGTGAAGTGTTGCCCTTCGATAGGAATTGTCCCTCAGGCTGTGTTTTTGCAAGAGCAACTCGTTTTACTTTGTTAGGTCCGTGTCGGTTAAGCCGCTCCAGGAGGCTGGCAGACAGTCGGACCAACAAATCGTGTACCTTGGCACAGGCGCAGCTTTTACAAGCATAGCGTAATCAGGTCTTACCGCGGCAGCATAACATCAGAGGTAGTGATGTAAAACTTGGCATGTTGCCTTGAGCTGTAAGTTGAAGAATGTGGTAAAGGTGACTGGACAGTCCTCAATAGACAGGGAGGGTTTAGAGAGAGGCATGGCTTCTTCCTCTCCTTTCTGTAGAGGCTTCAAGTGGAAAGGAGGTTAGTCCTGTTAGACACGTACAACTTTCAGCTTCGTGCAACCGCCGGAAAACATTAGACAGCAAAGAAGGCCTTAGACTGTGATGCTTGAGGTGTTGTGGGAAAACATGTTCTCCAAACTACAGCATTCCTTCTGAAATACTAAGCAAAGGATAAGGATGACTCTGTTAGGTTTATTGTTCCCTGAAGGATCTATTTTGCAGTGCACGCAGTAAGCCTCGAGGTCTGAAGGCCACTGGAAATAAATGGTTTATTGGCAAAATTGAGATGACCTATGATTCAGAAACCATATCCATTATTGGATTTTGACGAAGGTCAGACATTTAGAATCATGGGCCTCCTGCCTTTATCAACAGTCATCATATGGAGCTATCATGAAAAGAATAGGAGTTGGGGAAAGAAGCGATAATAGCCAGAAGGGTGGAACTGGAAATTTCAAGCAGTACATAATAGAGCTAAAGAAATAAACCTGACCTTCAGGAAGCCGATAACGAAGATTAAGTGCTTTTACACTGAATAGAAAGAAAAGGCAACGCATCTCTGCAAAGTGCTTTATAGCTGTGTGGCCAGGGTTGACCACAGCAAAGGCGTTCTTTTAAAAGCTCAAAATTAATTTATTTTCACCTACCTTAAGAAGCGATAACAAAAGACTTTCAAAAGGGCCTTACGATGTTGGTTGCTCAGGCTGCTGTCTGAATGGGACTCGACATAGCTGGCACCGAGCATGCTCACTGGCCTCTGAAACCCGGCGTCTCACGGAGGTTGATACAGAACATCCACCAGCCTGGGTACCTGCTGCCTTCACTGCCAGTTGCCGCCTCTGTCCTGTAAGAGAGAGCAAAATTTGGTGAAAAACTTTTGAGGATTATATTGGCAAGCAAAAATAGCCTAGTGAAGAACTCATTTAATAAGAGCGTGATGCTTTGGTGGATTAATAGCAACAAGAAGCATAACATTAAGCAAAAACAAGAATACTAAAGTGATCTTTGTATAGAAATGCCAGTTAAGGCTGTGACGCCTTTCCTTGTTTTTCCCACGTTTGAGGAAAAAAAAGACCTTTATTTCTCTGTAGTACACAGGTGAGATTACTTTTTTAAGTGTCAAAGAAGATACATGTTCAATAAGGAAAGTATTACTTTACCAGACCATAATGCACAGGTCACTGCTCTTTTGCAGTGGGAATGACCTCAGTTGAGCCCGCAAGGCCAGGAAGATGTTTCCTGCTCCCGTTATACCTTTTTTAATTGGCTGAACCACCCTTGCAATCAATGTAGGGCTTATAATTTATGCAAGATGTGATAAAAAACAGTATTCATCATCCTGTGTCTGAGTTTCAAGCATAAATTTACCTATAAGCAATATTATTTTCTTTAACTACTGCATAGCTGGTTTCAAATTGTGGGCGTTCTGCTGATGGAGCGGTGGAGTCACCTCAGCTGCTGAAATGATGCAGCAGAAACCAGCCTCTCTTCCAGCAAATCAGTTTGCAGTTAATAAGATATTTTTGTGGGTAGCGCTGTTTAAAAAGTCACGTCAATAAAAGAGGTTTTTAATGTCAGATTGATAGTTTCTAGTCTTTCTGGCAGTGGAATGCGGTTGGTTTCCTGCCTGGTTTTGTCGGATTTCCTTAGCAGCAGCAGCAGCTTCTCTGGCTAGCTGAGTAATGGAGAGACCTTTCATTGCCTTCCTTTTGGACGTATCCCTAAAGCCGGTGATAAGATGCTGTTCCTTTCTCCGAGGTGCTTGTACATTGTATTCTGGAAGGTTTTTTCTTGCCACTTCTCCCTGCCTGCGTCTGCCCTGCAGGGGAGAGTGCGAGTTTTGGCCTAGCAACGTGCAGCTGATCTGTGCATCGTCATCCTGCTGTGGATGCAGGAGGACCAAGCAAGGGCAAGCGCCGCTGGATTGGGGTGTCCAACCCTTTCTAGCAGTATTTGCAGCCTGGAGGTTAGATTATTCATTTATTTTCCACTAGCAGGTGTGGCGCGTTGAATTTGGGGCCTGGAGCCGTCTCTCTCAGCTTCACAACAGCAGACTGTGCTTTTGTAATCTCACCGCTGATCGCGGCAATAGTCTCTACTTGTAAATTGCCCCGAAGCTCGGGCTGGAAAGCAGCAAGGCTGCAGCAATCCACCTCTGAAGTAATATTCTCCGTGCCGGTGTTCAACACGTTGCTTTGGAGAATTCATCCTGCAAGTTATGATCTGTGAAGCCCTAAATTGTGAGAGAACCTGTTTTCTGGGCTATATCTTTGTCACATCGCAATGAATTATAATGCGCTTTTCTCAGTCTCACTGGCTGCTTTTGGGGCAAACACTTTGAGGCAAAGAGCAGGGTGTCCTTCGTCTCATGCAAAGTATTTTTAGAGAAAATATGTACACGTACGTATCTGTATGGTAGGTATAGCCATTTATAGAAGTGATACATGTGGAATAGGATGCAGAGGTTTGACTGATCTCCCTACATAGTGGAGGACACGTGCCTTCTGGGATGCCCTTCCTCCACGATCTGCCAGGGCTCAATTTAAAGTTTAACAGCCTACAGCATTGCTTATCTCCTTACCAGAGCATTTGTTGTTTTGCTTGAATATATTTTAGTTAGCCGGATTTGAGGGCATGAGAATCGAGCTCCATGTAGGGACATCAGCTGATTGATAACCTTTTGGTTGACAGGGTGGCATTTTCCTCTGCAACCAGCTGTTTTTAATTAGGGAAAAAAAGCACAGCCGGTGAGTGACGAGAGCATATGCTTTTGATAAGCAAATGTTAAGGAGAAGGCTGGGGTCCGAACGGTGGTGTTTCACTCGAAGGGTTATGTGTGTGCATTTTCTGTTGATTCAGATGTCCCAGGGCTCTTGTTTGGTGCGGCAGGGAGCAAGGTGCAGGGACATCAGCGCGCGGGTCGGGGCAGCCAGGGGCTGCTGAGGCTGGCGTTGGTCCGAGCTTGTCTGCCTGGAAAGTCAACGTAGCCCGGGCTTCGGAAGACAAATGCAAAGGGTAGAAATAACACCACAGCCAGTCTTGGAGGGAGTTGGGACCCTCTCGGAGACTGGCAGTAAGTCTTGTTTTAAAGAAGCTACCAGCGTTATGCTTGCTTCAGAGCTTTTAATTGCAGAACCTGCTTGTTTCCAACCTCATAGCATCGCAGTGGGTGGGAAATCTTCAGTGTCTGATACTATAAAATGTGATCCATGGACAAGGAACTTGGGCGCGGGTTTCGTGAAGCGGGCGAGCGCTGTCTGCTGCTCCCTCTGCCGGCTGGAAAGCGGGAGCTAACCAGGAAAGCGCTTTGCTCCCCCGGACCGTGCCAGGAGCATGCTGTAACCCAGCCTGGGCTGGGGTTGCAGCCCCAGCGCTGCTGGCGTAGACGTGCGCAACGCGGGATGAGAGCCAGGCTGCTGGGACGGGGCAGCAAGGGGCTGCGAGCGGGAGGGAACAAGGCCGGTTTCATGGCGTTAATGAAAGGTTTGTTGTTCCAAGCCTAACCCTGGTCGGTTGCCCTGTCTACCTTGCCCTCTTCTCTCCCTCCGCGCCAGAAAATCACTTCTTAATAACATTGAAATGTTGTGCCAGTCATTCCTTCCCAGCCGTTTCGGTGTCCCTGGCCAGCGCTCCCCGTGCGACTGCTGTCCTTTAGCCGGCAGCCAGGAGATCTCTCTTTGCAGAACCGTTCTGTGTTTTTAAGGGAATATCAACAAGTGGAACCAGAAATCTCTGCTCTTACTCCGTACTGCACAGTCTAAAACCTGTGTTTGTAGCTGTCATGAATTCCATGGTTTTTAAGCTGTAGCACTCAAATGCTAATCGTAATTTATATATTTTATAGGTGGTTGCCCATTGGAAAGCTGATGTCATCTAAAAGCTCTAATAATTTCAAACGCTAATAGCTGCAAATCACATGTGTTAACACACATGCAGATCATTAATGTTACGTGAGAGTTGATGTTAGACAATTACATATTTCTTGTGAAAACGAATCATCGTTTTAAATGTTACGAGTTGGGGACATCCTAGAAGCTGTCCAAATTTTAGAGGTTTGTAAAGGCTTTCTATTTAAAACTCAACCCAATACGCCTTTGTAAGAGGAACTGACTTAAACACAATAAGAAGAAATATTCAGCCCCTGCAAGGGCAGTTTTGGTGGGACAGTATGCATACATATTTAAAATGTATTTATTTGCATGTGCTATGGATGTTAGGGAAATCCTGGCTACAAGACTGTGGAGTAAGCCCAGCCAGCGGAGCACTGGCCTACCCTGCTGACTCTAAACTTGCACTACAAAATCCAAACCTGCATCTGGATTTGGGAAATGTTTTTCTCTTCTGATGATAATGTGAACCAAAGCCTGCAAGCCTGAAGTTTTAAAGTATCAGAGTTGTGTGGCCCATGCACCAGAAGTTGCATCCTGAAAGAAGCAGGACTACTCTGTGCAGGGAAATGGACCACCTGGAACTTCTGGTCTTGCCTCTTCAGATGTGTGACCACTGGCACGATGGGCCTAGACATGTCTTGTCCCCGCTGCTA